ATTTATACAGGGTATCTCAAATTTAAATAGCCAAACATTTTTATTTTTGTCTTTATTTATTACTTATTCATTCATAATTATTTATTCATGTTGTCACTTGCTTAATACAAATATTGTTCAAAATGTTGGCTTCTTACAGTAATGCACGTATCTTGTACGGAAAGTTTGAGTTGCAGCCAAATACTGATCTGATCAACGTAACGACTCGCCTATTCAGTATTATTCTATCTAGAAATCATGCATATCCTTGCCCTATCTCTGAAGCATTATTATTGCTGATCGTACACAAAAATACTATTTTTCTTTAAAAACAATAACATTTCCAAAATTAAATCTATTTCTGCGATTTTCTCCAAAACGAACAAAAAACGAACATATCTCTAAAGGATTTTTTTTTTCTTATTTTATCCATTCTTTACATGATCCCAAAATTTAGCCGTTTAAATTTGAGAAACCCCGATATAATAGAATTATTCATTAATCCGTCATCTGGAAAAAACATTGCGCAGCACTCATTCTTTGTAAAACGCAAATCTAATTTATATGGAATACGAAAATTAAGTATATAAAAAAAACAATTTATCAAAACAAATCGTAATTTAATCCGCTTTTATTTCCAGTTGTATTTCATGCGGACGTATAATTGTCGAATAAACGTATTCCCATCAATACCTTTGTTCGATGTAGAATCATATTCGCTGGAAATCATCGAAAGCAAGTATTAGATGGACTTACCTGGCTTCCTGCGGGAGCTCCAAAGCACTGGAGGATGTGCGGATGGGGCGATGGCAGAGGAGGGATTACCGCCGGGGGCAGCCAGCTTGACTGCGTTTCGCGAACCTGTAAATCAATCGACAAACTTTTCAAGCTTTGTATTGTTGCTTCTCCTTTTTTTATTTTTTTTCCTTTTCTACGATGAGACTCGCGCCACTCTTGTGACTCGCGAATTGTGTTTCAAATAGTGCTATTTCATTTGTACGATTTTGTCGACAAATGTGTACAGGCAGAAGTTCTCGGATCTCTCTCATCATACAGTTAATAAACAGGCTTAAATACTTTGTTGTACGACAAAAACGCACAAATGAAATAGCGGCCTTAAATCCATCAATAGGAGCAGAAACAAAAGAAAACGTTGCCATATGACAACGCGATTGCATTATGTATTAACATGAGATCCTAACCCCGGCAGGACTCGCCATGACTCGTTATGGCTTGGAAAGCCTTTATGCGTCGTGGGACTAGAATGGCTCATTATCGCTTGTGATTTGTGGCTTGTGACATGTCATTTTCGAAGAATAGCGGTAAGTTCGTGAGCCAAAGAAGTCTTTGTGAATAAACAAACCGACAAGATATCATATGCTTGGATTCATCAATGATCGCATTCAATGAAAATTTTGTAAATATTTTTTGCTGTTATAGAACTATAGAAAATCTAAAAGTATATTCAATCAGAGTGAAATAAACTTTCAACAGTAGCAAAACAAATATTCTGCTGCACGTGATCAATGCTTGCAAAAAGTTATTTCATATAAACTTTTTCATGTCATCAGGAGGCACTAAGCCACGCGCAGTGACACTACCATGTTCCTTTATGCGAGACAGCGAGTTGGGGGGGGGGGAATCGAGATTATTGAATCTCAATAACTGAACTGATCAAGTTCTACATACGCTCAATCGATAGCTTCCTCGAATTGTGTAATAAAAATGCTTTTACTTTTTTTCTACGTGCCCTACGAGCAGAGATATTGCGACGGAAAGTCCCGATGTGAAACTTTTTAAAATACATCGTTATTATTATGTTCATGTTTATTCATCTAACCAAAAGAATGTATTGTTGGGCGTTTAGCGCGAAAATGTGTTAGTTGTCCAGAATGTATTGTTGAACATTTTAGAGAACGTGAGAGTGAGCTAACATACTGTACAACTAGAGACTTGAGGTACAAAAAGCGCTACATATTGAGGGAGCGAGAAAGGAGGAAAATCATTCGGGAGTGGGAAAAGATCCTTCTCAATCCGAACTCTTTCAGACGCAGAATCATGGATCTTTGCCTTATCTGAAGAAATGGGTGGTGGACAGATCTTGAGACGCCTTTCATCTGATGCAGGTGTTCTCCGGACACACTTGTTTCGGGAAGTTTCTGCATCGGATAGGGGAAGAAAAGATACCTCGATGTCATCATTGTGACACCGAAGTAGACACGGCGCTCTACCTTGATGAAATGCTCCGCCTGAATGGAGGAGCGTCATGCTCTGACCGATGTAATCGGTATGGACTTGTTTCTCTCATCGTCAGTAAGATGCTCGAGAAGATAGAAAATCGGAATGCAGTCGTCTCCTTCTGCGCCTTGATAATGGTACAGAAAGAAGACTAGATGAAAGAAAGAGGAGGGGTTAAGCATCACCTTCGTAAGTTAGAGAGGAGCGCGCATTGACTCTATCCCTACCATAATGGAAGGAGGGGGGGGGGAGGGGGAATCATCGTGACACCTGATACATCATGACAATAAACACCTGGGGGAACCATACCCCCCCCCATCTCTGCCCCAAATCAAGTTCGTCCAAGCCGCAGGGTTCTGACACTCCCGCGGTAAAGGCGGCAAATATCGGCCGAGGACAGTGGTGCTGTAAATGCCACAACCAGGGGGAGGGCCGGATACATACTGCTGGTAATTCCTGGTCCCCTCCCCCTAATTGCTGCCAGAAGACGCCGTGGGGTTTTTTAGTGGGTATGCGGTGGTTGTGAACGTTCCGTTTCGAGGGACACAAGGCGGACTGAACCCCATACTACTCTCGGTTAAGTCGAACCCAGGAATATCTTCCTCTCTATGGTGGGATGACCTTCCTTGGGAATTGTCGTTCCTTGGGGAATAAGATTTTCTCCAAAAAAAAAAGAAAGTGCAAGAAGCGCTAAGGAAGCATGATAAACGAAAGTATCGCTGGTATATTTTAAACTAGAAAATGATAATGAAAATTTTATATTTTTTTCCGTCTATTCATTTATAACAATACATAAAAAAAAAAGATCGAATAGACATGAAATTATACACTATATTTGTTAACTAAACTAGAAGATTATAATGATAAAGCGATCTATTAAACTTTGATCACTATTTGCTTATAATAAATTTAATATTTGACAAAAGAAGATCGGATAGAACGAAATTATACGCTGGTATTTAACTAAACTAGGAAATAATGATGAAAATTAAATCGTCGATTTCTATTTATTTGTAATTTAATTTTGTATTATGTAAAATAATAATAGTACAAGTAATATTTAAAATCGGATGGAAACGAAGATATGTATAAAATTGATAAAACTGTATATTACCGATGACCTCACTGATTTCAATGACCTTGACACATGTTATCAAAGTCATGATCCTGTGAGTCACTTCCGATGAATTTTAACCATCACTTGTTATTCGTTAAAAAGTTATTAACAAAAGTTTAAAAAACGACTTTTTTCTGCTACGTGAAACAAAATATTCCGCTTTAAAATATATATAATATATAAAATATATTGTACGACTTTTCATGCGAAGCGATTCTTAATCCTATCTCCCTCCCTCCCTGCTTGGGGCGCACGACTTTTACGCAAAGCAACTTGATGAAATGGGGGGGGGGGGGTAGAACTCACTTTGCATGGAAATCGTGCCCCTTTGAGTAGGAGGAGAGGTGAGATGGGAGTTGCTTCACATGGAAATCTTGCGCTTTTCAGTAAGGGAAAGGTGGGATTGTCGCTTTACGTGACAGTCGCGCATCTGCAAGCAGAGAGGAAGATGAAGTAGAAGTCGTTTTGCATGTAAGTCGCGCACTTTTAAGTAGCGGGGAAATGGGTTGAAAGTCACTTTGCGTGGAAGTCGTGCGCTCTTAAACAGGGGAGGAGGTAGGATAAGAGTCACTTCGCGTGGAAAGTCATAAAATATACAAAATAAAAAGCGAAATAACAACGAAATAATTAACTGCCAAACCGTTGTACAACCTTATTTCTCTAATTTCTTCTAATTTCTTCTATAATCAAATAAAACTTATGTATTCAAGTAATAGTAGTTTTAATTCTTCTACAAGGATATTCTTATTGAAGATCTCCTTATTCCAACCCAAGTAATGGCAATCTTTTAATCCTGTATCAAAAATTATTATTCCTCGAAAAAAAATTAATTTACCGAATAAAAAAATAAAATCTAAATGCTGTAGTTTTAACTAAGTTAACTAGCTAAGATAGTACACTTAGGTCTTTTTTTCAATTTCACAGAATTAAATTCTGTCAAATTAAAAAGAAAAATCTATATAATATTGTCTTTATTATTTACTAATTTCTAAGGATATGCTAAGGATATGATTATTCATATAAAAAATTTGATATCAACAATTAGCGCCTAGTTAAATCCCATACCAAATTAAATAAAAAATACCTACAATCTAAGTGATACTATCTTTAATTTTTATACAATAAAATCTATATATATAACGTTTATATATATATATTATAT